CTGAAGAAGCTGTATGTGGCTTTCTGTCCAGTAGGATAATATCCTAGGCTGTGATGGGTGTGGCAGAGCTGGGGAGAGCATTACACAGAAAGTCATCACAACTGGCATCCGGTTCTGGCCCCTCCAATTACCAGCTATTTGACTCCAGCTCATCTGACACTCATCATTCCAGTCAACACACCAGGCTCTTTTTGTCCCTCCTCATTCTTCTCCAGCTGCCCCATTTGCCCATTTCTATCCATCAAAATTCCAGTTGTCCCTCAAGGCTCAGATAAAATACCATGCCTTTCACGAAGCTACCTCAAGTCTCCTCAGTCAAATTTTTTTCTCCTCTGAAACTCCATAGAATTTGAATTCTACTACAGCCTCTGTCATGCTGTTTTGCATACTTCAACTTTGCCGGGCTCCCCTCAACTCTACTACAAACAGAATTGTTGGAGTCAAGTTTTTCCTTTCTTAAATCTCAATGTTTTAAATTAACAGCAGACATGCAGAAAAAACACTTATGGTCTTTCTCCCCATGATTTTGCCTTAACCAATACTTTAAAATTTCCCCAACCCCAGACAAGGAAAAAGAGTTAGCAACCTGGTTGGCCAGAGCCCAAGGAGTTCACTGGCCCATATTTTATGAGGGGCAGTGTGCCCTTAAGGGTCATCATTCAGGGATGAAGCTCCCTTCCTCCCAGCCTGGCCCCTTGATTAGTCCTCTTCTATCCGTGTGTATGGCCCGAGTTCTCACTGGGGTCCAGTCACCTCTTCCTCCCTCCCTCCCCCTGCCCCCAACACCATGACTGAGTACACAGGTCCTTAATTCATCTGGAGCTGAGTGGGAAAGCAACGTACGCCTAGGCTACTTCCCAGCTCACCTTTAACCAGTGAGCCCATGACAGAGGTTACTGGGTATAACTCACATACCAACAGTTGAACTTTGGCTCAGTTTGCTATTGTTCCTTGAACATACTGTTTCCGTGGGATCCTGAGTGTCAGGAGTTGGGATGATTGGATTTCAGCTTTCCTGGGTCTCTGATCATAGAACCACAATAACAGTAGCAAAATCTCACAATCACCTCGTGATGTCATGAAAAGCTGATGTCAGCATGAAGAGGTCTTTGTATGCATTTGCTATAATGGTGTATAATACAGCAGTTTGGTCTCAAGGTTAAAAAAAAAGGAACAAGAAAAAGATTTTAAAAGGGGGCAGGCAGTGAATACATTTGAAAGACCTTAAACTGACCTTGCTCATCAGTGGGCTGTGAGGATGTTTCCTGCTCTGAGGCCTCTCCTCCAACAAACACCTTGTCAGGCTGGCTCATGTCCTGGCCAGGAGGCTGCTTGCTGAGGGGTAAATGGGAAGGAACAACCTGCACACAGGTCAACTACAAGATGTTCAGCAACTCAGCCACCCTTACAGATTTGGTAGCGTAAACCCAATCCTGTGACGATACCAGAAGGTTCATTTATATTTTTAAAACAAAATGTTTAAGGGGAAAAAAATTAGTTCTGTTATCTACATTTTTAAAATAGTGTTATGAGGGAAAGTAGAAGCATCTCCAAGAATTAGAATAAAAAATATCCCCTATGTCACATTTTACAAGTCATAAAAACACTCCCTCTGCTCACAGTGGGTGCCTTCCCCACACCAGGGGCGACAGGTACTGCATCTGTTCAACAAAGGTAATTTGAGCTCAAGGGAAATCATGTCCCAGATACCTTATCCCAGAGAGATATTAGCAAACAAACAAAGTTTCCTCTGTCTTGCAGCAGCTCCAGGGATTAAGGAAGCAAAAAAAAAAAAGCAAAAAAAAAAAGAAACATTCAACATGTCAGAGTTGTGTTATAAAGAAAAATAAACCCAGATCAGGCACCAGACATAGACCAGGAGTGCTCCTGTGGACAGGCTGTGCTTCAGTTACTATTGTTCATAACCAACAATGTCAACTCAGTGGCTTAAAATAATCATTTATTTGTTCTCTCATATTTCTGGTGGTGACTGGGCCCTCAGAATAACGTATAGATGGGCTTTTGTCAGAGTTCTGGAATCATCTGCAACACTCAACTCTCCTAGAACTATCACATTGGCTTTGCTGGACTCTCCACATCCAACCTGGCACGTGGTTACAGATAAGTACAACCTCCTCCTGTTATAACAGAACTCAAGCATTTTTTGTAGAGCTGCACTCCCAAGATGCCCTAAGCAAAGTGCTTCACCTGCCTCCCCCATCCTGGGACGTGAAAGTGAAGGAGAGTGACAGCAACTGAGAAAATGAGGGAAGCAGCAGCAGGCAGAGAAGCAGATACTAGGTGACTGCACCCAAGAGAAATGGATGCATTGAACAAATCTTTGTGAAGCACTTTTATTAAGCTGGGCATTGTACTGAGACATAGCAATAAATGAATTTCTGATTACCTCCTCCCCGAAAAAATCTTCTATTATCTACATTTTTAAAATAGTGTTATGAGGGAAAGTGGAAGCATCTCTGAGAATCAGAATAAAAAATATCTCCTATGTCACATTTTCCAAGTCATACAACACTCCCTCTGCTCACAGTGGGTAACTATCCTTGTTGTTTAAGAGGTTCCTGTGTTATGGCTACCAGCTGAGAGTCATAACAGCACTTCACTAAGAAGATCATGACTTACTATTCATTTGTAGGACCATCTTACATCTGCTTTGGGCTGGTGGGGGGAAACTTCGGGATTTATTCAAATGTTTCAACAAGTGCTCTGGTGCAGCCAGTGTCCCACATAATGATGGAGCAAGATCTCTCAAAATAGACATGCATATTACCACCTGAGGAGTTGGGTAAAAGGAAGGTACCAGTGGAAAATTGTTCCATCCCCAAGTACATTTCAAACAAGTTCCCCAGGCGTCTTTGATGTCAGGGGTTTTCAGAGGACACTTGGAGAGTCTCTGCTGAAAAGCATTGTTAAACGATAAAAAAAGGAGGCATAGTAAAATTTTTTCAGTTTATTTGAGCAAAAATCACTCCAGACACAGGAGGCAGGAGCAAGACATCTAGAGTGAAGACAAGTAAGAGAAGTGAGTAAATTGAGAGGCTGTAGTTTAAGGCTGCCTTATACAGGAAGTCAAGTTGGCTGTTTGTGATTGGCCATCCTTTTCGTTTTTAACCTTGAGGCGTTCACAGGCTTAGGTTTGGGTTTGCTCATATAGGCTGCCAAGGCACTAGAGTTACCTCTAACTGCCTTCTTGTTTAACTAGTTTAAGAGCATGAAGGATAAAAATCTCTATCCTGAATATCCTAAGGATAGCTTTCACCTTGAGCACTGAGTGTGGCAGGAACATGTCCACCCTTCCACTACCCAAGCTGAAAATAGCAAACTGAGTGAGCTGATCTGATTGAGAGCTGAATGCCACCCAGAGGAGCAGTATCCCCTGTGGTACCATGGAAGGCAAGGGATGTTCGAAGACAGTGGACCTGGTCACCTCTAGATCCCCTACATTGAATTTTTTTAATCAGATGCCATTATTCTATGAGAAAGTGAACTTCTAGAGTCAAATACCACATGATCGAGTTACCTGCCCCACTGCTCCGGGAATTTCCTGAAATATAAAGCACTTCAACATAGAGATGTGACCAGTACCACGTGGGATTGACCAGGGAGCTACAAAGAATGCTGCAATGAATTGTCTTGTGCATATGTATCTTGTTGTTAGAGGTGTGTCTTCAGAATAAATTCACATGTAACTTTGTTAGATATAGCAGTGCTAAATTCCCCCCACATAAAGTTGTACCATTTTGCATTCTGTCAGCGGTGCGTAAGAATTCCTTTATTCCCGCAAACTCATCAATCACATGTAGTCGGCTTTTGAATCTAGAGGATAAGAAATAATATCTCAGTGTAGCTTTACTTGGTATTTATTTCATGAGTGAAGGTGAACTTCTTTTCATATGTTCAAGAGTCACTTTCATCTTTTTTGTGAATTCAAATTTGTTAATTTTTCCATGCAACACCATCTTTATTATATGCTAGGTTTCCATACAGGGATGGGTCTGTTTCTGAATCTGTATTCCACTCCATTGGTATATCTGTGCTACCACATTGTTTTAACTCTTGGTTTTTCCATTCTTTTCATCATCACCTTAGTCCAGGCAGCAGGAATTCCTAAAACTGATGGCTGAGAATACCTAGAGGGAAGACTGGTTCTCAACAATAAACTGTACATTCTGCTTCTTCCTGTTCAGAGAATCTGCTGAGCCCTTCGACAGAAGTCCATGAAACATCCAGATGATAGAGATCGGGTTTTCTCAAATTTTTCAGACATGGAGATGGTGTTAAAACTCAAATAGCTCCCAGGGGTGGGACTCAAGAAGACAAATACAGACTTCTACCATCCCTTTTCCCAGGCTTTGCCTAAAAGCTCATACACCACCTTCTCAATAAACACAGTTTTTAAGTAGGAAAGGGAAATATGAAGCCAACTCTTGCATCTGCCGTGTTTCCTGACCTCTGGCCACAGAGACCATGAGCTGTGCATGCGGCAGTGAAGACAGCCCTTTTACTGGCCCCTCTGTGCTCTTCCATCTCCTCAGTCCCTCTGCTTCTCAGGGTGCAACACCAGTATCACCCAGCCCTTCCACCCTCACACTTGCAGCAGTTTAAGTTCCCGGAGACAAACACAAGGAAGATGACAGCCTACCCTCCCTACTTCATAACAAATGTTTACTGCAGTTTTTTATTGAAAGGTATCAACCCTGGGAATGGGTTGCACAAGACCAGTCTCTAGAAATATGCCCTTCACTGAGCCAATAAAGAAAAAAAAAGGCAAGAAAGGGATATGAAATTGTAAGAAGCCCAAGTGAGCTACTCTGACCTATAGAACTGCTAAGTGAACAGGATGTCCCTGCAGATGGCGTGCAGCAGTTACAGATGACTACCAGGCTGGGGGGCCACTGAGAGGCACTGTACTTCAGTGCTCTTCCCTCCTAAGGCACACTCGAGAGACTTCTAGCCATGAAAAAGGTAGAAATACAGGGCTTTCATCCATTCAAATATTTTTGTCTACTGTGGGCCCTAAAGACCTTATTATGGAGGCAAAAATGTTGGCACTGGCTGCATTGTGCTTGCATGGCCCCCAACATGCACCTGTATTCACTGGGGACGGTGAGTCCAGGCCCAGCTCACTGCTGTGTGAAGGCTTCACAGCAGGTACCTGCCCGAAAGGAACCCAAAGCCACCAGCCAAGCTGCCTGTGACAGATCCCAGCACCCACCCTGAGACTCAGCTTCAGTAGCTCTTGGCTCTGCCTGGCAACGCTGCACTTAACCCACATGATCTCTAGTAGCTCCTCTGTTTTCTAGAAATTAGGCCAGGGGTCTTTAAGGTCCAGGCCTTAGAAACCCAGTCTTTTCTTCCAATAGCTAAGCCATCTAACTTGCTCCAACACTTACCCTGAACCCTAAGGGCAGAGGTTCTCAGCCAAGATCAATTTTGCCTCCAGGGGACATTTGGGAAGGCCTGGAAACACCTTTAGCTGTCACAACTGTCATCTAATAGACTGAGAACAAGGATCCTGCTAAACAGCCTATGACCCACAAGAAAGCCAGGGCAGCCTCCAAGACAAAGACGTGCCTGGCACACAGTGAGAACAGTGCCAAGGTTGAGAAACTCAGGCAAGGTTTACAAGAGCAAGGAGACATGTTTTGACAGCTCCTTTCCACGTCTCAGAAGTGGATCCAGACAACTTGTGTTGCAGGGTGAAGGTGATGGGATGAGAAACCAGCTTATTTTTTAAGAAACAAAGGTATTCCTACTTTTCTCTAGCACACTTAATCAGCCTTCAGACAACATTCACCCTGGCATACATTTTGAGAAGCATTTTTTTTAATGCATTAGCTCCCCAGGACAGACCTTAGGCAGAAAGCTATCCAGTCTGTTAACGCCCAGGGAATAAAAAGGGGTTTCTCTTACAAAGCGCATACCCCTTGGGAACAGCACCTTCTCACCACCACAGGCATCATGGCACACACAGCTAGGCCCTGAAAGCGCACAGCCTTAGCCCAGCGTGAGGGAACTACAGACACCCTGTCACACACAATGAGGGCTAAATATAAAGTGACCAAGTGTCCCTGTTTGCCCTCGAGTCCCAGTTTACACCACTGTCCTGACATAATTAAAAGCACTTCCCTTTACTCTCAAGGGGGGCTTGAAATGAACAAGATGAGCTTGTACCACCCTGTCACATGACAGCAAAGAAGCCATCAAAGGTGATTAGTGTTATATAGAATCAGGAGCCAATGTGAAGAGGCTCCCACTGGTCAGAACTGAAATTATTTGAGCATCAACAACTGTGGTGGATTGGTTTAAATTCAAGCATGCATTTTTTATTAAAAAAATAATAACTGACCACTTTCATGGTGATCAGTTTAGAAGAAAAGCCACTAGATTATTATTGTGAAGACAGGCAAATAAGGGAAAGAATCCAGTATTTCCCTTCTTCTGTGAACTGTATGAGTTCACAGATACAGCTGTGAGGCACCCCAGCTAAAAAAATGAAGATTCTTTTATACAATTAGCAAAATAAATGCAATTAGGCTCTTCAGTTCAGTTCAGTCACTCCGTCATGTCCAACTCTTTGGGACCCCATGACTGCAGCATGCCAGGCCTCCCTGTCCATCACCAACTCCTGGAGTTTACCCAAACTCATATCCATTGTGTTGGTGATGCCATCCAACCACCTCATCCTGTTGTCCCCTTCTCGTCCTACCTTCAATATTTCCGAGCATCAGGGTCTTTGCAAATGAGTCAGCTCTTCACATCAGGTGGCCAAAGTATTGGAGTTTCAGCTTCAACATCAGTCCTTCCAATGAATATTCAGGACTGATTTCCTTTAGGATTGACTGGTTAGATCTCTTTGCTCTCCAAGAAACTCTCAAGAATCTTCTCCAACACCACAGTTCAAAAACATCAATTCTTCGGTGATCAGCTTTCTTTATAGTACAACTATCACATCCATACATGACTACTGGAAAAACCATAGCCTTGACTAGACGGATCTTTGTTGGTAATGTCTTTGCTTTTTAATAGGCTGTCTAGGTTGGTCATAACTTTTCTTCCAAGTAAGCATCTTTTAATTTCATGGCTGCAGTCACCATCTGCAATGATTTTGGAGACAAAAAAAATAAAGTCAGCCACTGTTTCTCCATCTATTTGCCATGAAGTGATGGAACCAGATGCCTTGATCTTAGTTTTCTGAATGTTGAGCTTTAAGCCAACTTTTTCACTCTCCTCTTTCACTTTCATCAAGAGGCTCTTTAGTTCTTCTTCACTTTCTGCCATACAGTGGTGTCATCTGCATATCTGAGGTTATTGATATTTCTCCCCGCAATCTTGATTCCAGCTTGTGCTTCCTCCAGCCCAGCATTACTCATGATGTACTCTGCATATAAGTTAAATAAGCACGGTGACAACATACAGCCTTGACATACTCCTTTTCCTATTTGGAACCAGTCTGTTGTTCCATGTCCAGTTCTAACTGTTGCATCCTGACCTGCACACAGGTTTCTCAAGAGGCAGGTCAGGTGGTCTGGTATTCCCATCTCTTTCAGAATTTTCCACAGTTTGTGGTGATCCCCACAGTCAAAGGCTTTGGTGTAGTCAATAAAACATAAATAGATGTTTTTCTGAAACTCTCTAGCTTTTTTGATGATCCAGCAGATGTTGGCAATTTGATCTCTGGTTCCTCTGCCTTTTCTAAAACCAGCTTGAACATCTGGAAGTTCACAGTTCACGTATTGCTGAAGCCTGGCTTGGAGAATTTTCAGTATTACTTTACCAGCGTGTGAGATGAGTGCAATTGTGCGGTAGTTTGAGCATTCTTTGGCATTGCCTTTCTTTGGGATTGGAATGAAAACTGACCTTTTCCAGTTCTGTGGCCACTGCTGCTTTTTCCAAATTTTCTGGCATATTGAGTGCAGCACTTTCACAGCATCATCTTTTAGGATTTGAAATAGCTCAACTGGAATTCTATCACCTCCACTAGTTTTGTTCATAGTGATGCTTCCTAAGGCCCACTTGACTTCACATTTAGGCTCTTAACCATTATATAATGACAGACAACCAGACAAGCCACCATCTGTACTATGTTCTTGCCAGAATGTGAAACATGAACCTGACTAGCCCTCTACACCTTAAGTTTTCAGTTAATCAGACGGCAGAGAACTATATTTAACTATGCCATGAGTGTGCAAGCAATAAAATTCAGAATGTGAGAAAGTCCACAGGACAAATAATCCAGCTGTTTTAATGAATAAATTTTAAGGGGAAGGGACTTCCCTGGTGGTCCAGTGGTGAGGGCTCTGTGCTTTCCACTGTAGGGGGCATGGGTTCAATCTCTGGTTGAGGAATTAAGATCGCACAAGCCATGCAGCATAGCCAAATAAAAAAGAAAAACATATATCAAGGGGGAAAAGATATATCAGACTTAGAAGACAAGCAACAAATTACAATTTATGGATCTTACTTTGATCTTAAAAGAGCTTTTTAAAAATCATGTGGTTTTTTTTTTTAAAGTGCATTAATTGGAAATTAAGAAACTATTTAATTTTTTAGGTATGATAATAGCAATGTGTTTTTTTTTTTTTTAAAGAATCCTTAACATTTAGCAGTATACAGTGAAATATCTATAAACAACATTTGAGATCTGCTTCAAAATACTTCAGCTGGGGAGGAAGATGAAGAGGAGGAGGGGGCAGAAATGTAAGAAGATTAGCTATGCAGAAACAAATGGTTAAAGCTAAATGATGAATACATGAAGATTCACTTATATGTTTGAAATTCTCTATTCTAAAAAAATTCCCAAGAAAAATACAGAAAACAATATTTGGCATTTGAATAGCTATCAAAAATAAGGTTAATACAACTCTATGGGAAAATTTTCCTTTTGGGACTCTTGGGAGGAACTGTAGTAGCTTTGGTCTCAAAGCAAACAAGGGAGCCCACGCGGGAAGATAGCAAGTTCTAACTCTTACAGAAGCTCCCTTCTGAGATCCCAACTGACTGAAAACCCAGTGTATGCTCAGAGAATCTGCCATTTAATTCAGGTAAACAGAAGGCCACTGATGAGCAACTGCAACCCCATGCTGGCCCCATGCCCCCTACACACCTCTTAGAAAAGACCAAACTCGGGTCAGGTCATCCCCTATGTTCTACAGACTAGAAGCCAGAGGCTGAGGGAAGCCTGTCATTGGGTTTGGACTCCAGGTGGCTATGAGCCTTGCCTGGCTTGTCTGAGGCGTGGGGCAGAAAAGAGCTGACTCTGCATCTGGACTCAATGTTGCTGGGAAATAGCAGTCCAGCATCTCAGAAAGTGGACGTCTCACAGTACTCACAGCCTCACGGGGACAACTGAAGGGCCAGGAGGTCTTCTGCTGAATCAAATGTAAACACCATGGTGACCTGCCAAATGAGTGATAAAATAATGTGTTTCAAATCAGAGTGAGTAATGCAACTCTCTGTATTAAAGTCATTACCATTTATCAATATCCCATTTACAATGGAAAATGGGGGGGGTGGGAAACCCCAGTGAAAGAAGATAGTATTAAGAGGCACCATAAGACAAATCACATCTTGCAAACACAGGACACAGTCCAAAGACAACTAACTTACAGTCCCATCAGAAAACTAACTCACTCGGCAGTGGCGTCCAAAGGCACTGCAGCACGGTCCGGGCTAGTTAGGCAGTTTCCAGAAAGTCCAAGTAAAAGGAAACCCTTTAACGATGGCAAAATAATATAAGAGCTTAAACACAGTTACAGATAAAGCATGTTCTTATTTTTTTTTTAATGTATTTAATTCCTAAAAACATCTTTGTTTTTCCTAAATTAGCGTTCATATAAAAACAGCCAGCTACTGTCTCATCATCTCCAGGTGGCCTGAGGATCCCAAGCACCTCTCAGATGACAAGGACCGAGATGCACCGAGGACAGAGATGATTCAGAAACAAGAGGTAGGTGGTGGCAAATGCACTACAGGGCCAGAGCTGACAGGACGGAGGCACAGGCCCAGATCCAGAGGGTATCTGGGAGTATCCACAGGTTCCACCTCAGGTGATTCTGAAGATCAAATACATTCACTAACATGTAAGTTCCCCAAGGACAGGGACTCCCCCCATTTTATTTACTAACCTACCTCAAGCACCCAGAAGAGTCCCTGGCACACTGTCAGGCCTCAATAAATATTTGTGGAATGAGTCAAGTGAGAAAACAGGGAAGTGCATTTTGTATGCTGTAAAGTGCCATCAAACGTAGAGCATTAACACCAGTTCATCTTTCAGACTCATTTAATTAGAACTTCATTCCCAACTGGATTTTTAAAAAAAAATACTCTCATGTTTAGACAGTGACCAAAAGCAAAATATTCATTTCCTAACAGATGTGTGGACAGTGTTTTTGTTCAAGGAACAATGGAATGGGAGAAACTACTAATGACAGTAGGCCACAGAGAGAAAGGGGCCACAGAGACAGTAAAAAAAAGGCAGATGCCTAAGCGACCCAGCTGGGGAGGGAAAGATCAGGAACTGGGCAGATGGAGCGGAGAACTTCCTCTCAGTACTCACCAGAAATGTAACTCAGGGCGCTCTGCTTTATTAACAAGTCTGCTTCCAGAGCTTGATCCCACACTCTGGGGCACTGAGGTCTCAGCTGTCTGGTCACTGGACTCCCAGTGCCAGACACACAGTAGGTGTTCAATAAATATTTGTTAAATGGAAGAGAACTGGGGGGAGAGGGAATCAGAGTCTGAGCTAATGATCTTGCAGGGACACAGCCCTCTGGAAAATGAGGTTCAAGCTGCTGACAGGTGAGAAGATTTCACCACAAAGACCACATTTGCTCAGGAGGTGGACGTGAACATCCATGGACGGAGAAAAACCTCGACCTGAACTGAAACTTGGGCCATCACTTCCTGGAAAGAAGGTTAAGAAGTGCTAGCACCAGTTGGGTGAGAGATGTGGCATCTCAACTAAAGCAGGCCTCTCCCTTACCCAGCGTCTGAAACGAGGGGAAAGAAAAGGGGTCAAAGCGGCTCTCCACACCCGACACTCCTGACACCCGCAGCCCTTCAGGGAGCATAGTGGGTACTTCCTCCCATGAGGTCCCGGAAGGCCCCGCCTTCTCCGTGAGCCAAAAAGGGGCATCCGGGCCAGGCGCCCTCACTGCCCCGGGGGCTCCTGGCGGTGCTGCGTCTTCTGGTGCCGGTTGAGGATGGAGCGCTGGTTGAAGCTGCGGCCGCAGGCCGGGCAGCAGTACGGCTTCTCCCCGGTGTGGATCCTCTGGTGCCGGACCAGCCGCTCCCCCTTGCTGAAGCGCTTCCCGCACACCTGGCAGCCATAGGGCTTCTCGCCAGTGTGGGTCCGCCGGTGCACCGCCAGGTTGGCGTTCCTGCTGAAGCGCTTGCCACACTCGCAGGTGTAAGGCTTCTCGCCAGTGTGTGTCCGGCGGTGCACCTGCAGGTGCTGCCGGCGGCTGAAGCTCCTCCAGCAGTCCGCGCACTGGAAGGGCTTCTCGCCTGTGTGGCTGCGCTGGTGGACCGCGAGGTGGTGGCGCTGGCTGAAGGTCTTCCAGCACTCACCGCACACGTGCGGCCGCCGGCCCAGGTGCGTCCGCTGGTGCTTCAGCAGGTACTCGCGCAGCGCAAAGCCCTTGCCGCACTCCCCGCAGCTGTACGACTTCTCCTCCTCGTGCGTCCGCTGGTGTCGGACCAGGTTGGAGCTCCGACTGAAGCCTTTCCCACACTCGGGGCACTGGAAAGGTTTCCAGAAGGAGCTGTGGGTCTGGAGGTCATCGGGCAGCGGGGCGACGCTGTGCTGGGGTGGGAGCGGCCCAGGCACGTTTCCCAGCGAGCTCCTGGCCTCCTGCTCGCATGGTCTTCCTAGCTCCGGACCCTGGAGCGCAGGCTCCCCACACCGCTCTGCCGGCCCACAAGCGAGCTGCCCCTTGGGGTCTGCCAGCTGGGTCTTTGCCTCCTTGTCCTTGCTCCCCAGGCCTACAGGACAAAGGAGATACAGACCAACACTGAAGAGGATCTGAAGAGAAACTTCTAGTCAGAACTTGGCTTCTAACATGTCCCATTAACAACTACCAATGACCTCTGTGCATTTCACTTGCTCTGACTCTAAAACCAGACATTCCTTTACTTCTTTCCACCTGTTATGGACTGAATGTTTGGGTTCCCTCCAAAATTCACAGGTGGAAGTTCTCAAACCCCTGGGGCCGCTGTTAGGAGGTGGGGCCTTTGGACCGTGATTAGGTGAGGGTCTGGGGGTGGAGCCCCCAGGATGGGACCATGTCCCAGAAGAGCAGAAGCCAGGGCTGGCTCTCTGCACACAGGGGTCATGTGAGCGGGAGCCCTCGTGATGGATTAATGGCCTTATAAAAAAAGGAGGAAGAGACACGAGATCTCTCTCTCCCTCCCTCTGCTACATGAGGAGCTGGCAAGGAGGCGACTGCCCGTGAACCAGGAAGAGAGGCCCTTGCCAGACAACAAATGTGCCAGCAACTGGATCCGGGACTTCCCAGCCTCCAGAACTAGGAGATATTAAGTGTCTGTTGTTAAAGCCACCCACTTGGTGGTATCTTGTGACAGCAGCCCAAGGTCAGACCATCTCCCTGCCTTCTTACGGAACCATGTGCTAAATTACAAGGCTCTCCCTCTTAATTTCCTACTAAGTCACCCTGTGCTTTTCAAAATCTAACTCAATGCCATCCTTTAAGGAACATACCTTGATTTCTCCCCCGCTGTGGGTCTCATCAGCACATGCATTCAATTAGCACTGTTTATTCCACACTTACTTACACATGACCTTGCTGCACATGCTACTCTACAGTCGTTGAGATGTTCAGCTTCCCCAGGAACACAGACCTGTTCCAGCAATTTTTCCACATCCTCCCTCAGCTCACTGTCCCTGCTCACACTGTGCCCTCCACCTCACCCTGGTTTATTACTCTGGGTGTCTGGGAGCCTGGCACCGGGACTGACTCAAGGAAGATGTTTCATGACTGCTGGATGGGCCAGTGAAGGCAGCTGTCTGTACCAAGCCACCGCAACATCAGCACATTTATTAGGAATGAAATGCCCTTCCACAGGTCCTTCCTTTGTTCCCTCTTTTACTCTAAATTAACAGAATAATTGGTTACATAAGGTCAAGAGGAAGGGGAAGAGAAGAGAGGAGAGAGATACTAGGGAGCAAAGAAGCCAAGAAAGAAGAGGGAAATGACAAGTCACACTTAAAACAGGAAAGTCCTTTCAGGCAAGGCCATTAAAAGAGAAAAGGAAAAAGGACACTTAATGCTTCTTGATTTGACAAAATACAGAGGAGACAGTGAGCATTTCTGATGTCTTACCTGGAGGTGAGACCCCGCAGTCCTGGGGTTCCACATACTCCCCAAAGCAGTCTATCTGGGTTGGGGTTACATGCCTCCACTCCTCCTCAGGGAAAGCCAGGGCCATGTCTTTAAATGGGCCCAACCCCTGAAAAAGCACAAGAGATGGCTAAGGATAAAGAAATAATCCCAAGGCAGGAGCAGCTGAAGAGCAGACACACAGGCGGCCACACTCCAGGGGAGAACAGAGCAAGAAGATGGAGGAATCAGGGTCCCAGATGGCTCCAAAATGGGACTGGAAGTGCCTCCCTCGAGACAAGTTTAACGACAGAGAAGTGATCGATTTGTCTGAGGCACTGTATTGAGTCTTTGCTGCAGCCGCTTTGCTGGTACCCAATAACCACTACTCCAATTTCCACTATTCAATCACCTCCACTACATCCTCATATTGGAGGGAGATGGGGGCTGCTATTTATCCCCTCATGTAGAATCAATTTTCCCTCAGAGATAAGCAAACACTTGGGCAGGCCCTGTCTTAAGAACAACGCCATGTAAAAACGACTATGCTGCTGTCATGACATGGTAAAGAAGAATACTTGTGGCAGGAGAAGAGAGTTTAACTTAATTAAAAAAAAAAATGCTGATGTCTTTCTTCCTCTCCTCTAAATGTCCTTGGAAAACAGAAGCAGGAAACAGCACAGGCACCAAACCTTGCCCAAATACTGCTTTAATGAGATCAAACGTCAGTCACTTCTTTTTTTTCTGCCAAATGATAACTTTCCTTCTACAAGGAACTCTTCACTTTTAAGACTTGATGTCCCTTTCAAAAAGCTGTGAGACGAGACACTCCCCACCTCCCTGAGAACACTGGGCATGCCATGGGAGACACTCACACCATGACAGAACTGCCCACCTGTGCTCTAAGGATCCCCATCTGTGGCAGGCTGAGAAGTGCTAACAAGGCCAAAACTCCTGGTGCAGTCTTTGGAGGGGCCAGAGACCATGCCACTTGGCACTGCTGGGCACCCCCACCTCTGAGTCAGCAACACTCCTGCTGACTTGGGAGGGAGGAAGGGGTCCACAGGAAGAGCAGCCACAGACAGATCCATAAAGGCTATCCACAAAGGGCTACTGATCTCCTGGCCGCCCACCACAGCCTAGATCATGCCTATGGGGTTTCCACCAATAATGGCTTCCTCCTCACAACTGGGCTTCCCTTGTGGCTGAGAGGTAAAGAATCTGCCTGCCGATGCAGGAGACATGGGTTCAATCCCTGGGTTGGGAAGATCCCCTGGAGGAAGGCGTGGCAACCCACTCCACTATTCAGTATTCTTGTCTGGAAAATTCCAACAGAGGAACCTGGTAAGCTACAGTTCATGGGGCTGCAAAAGAGTCGGACATGACTGAGTGACTGAATACCACCACAGTTACAAGAGTAATACTGAGTTGACTGAGGGAAAAAAAAAGAAATTAAAGAGTAATACAAATAAGGGAACTGAGCCTCATGCCTAGACCCTAAGGCATAAGGCTCAATCCAAATTAATAACTGATGATAGTCAAGTGGAAAAAACGTCCATCAGGACGAGAAAGGAAGAATCACTCAACTCTGTGCACAGTGCTCTGCTGTGCAGTAAACTCTTGAGGAAGGTGCACCTCATTCAAAGCAACCTCGTGCTCCCTGATGGGCAGGCACAGCTCACCTGGGATCCAGCCGTCAGGAAGCTAGCTGCCACCTCCTGGTCTCTGGTGCTCACTGCAGGGAGGCCAGCACCAGCGTGAAGGACTGGCAGAGCTGAGCAGGAAAGGAAAACAGGAGCAGGATTAGCACTGTCCTGCAGCAGCTCAGCCACAGGCTCTGCTGCATGACACACAGAACCCCGGGAACTATAAGGAGACTCCAGACAGGCCGGGCATGGGTGTACCCCACTCTGTTCTCAGAGGGGAAGAAGGGCCCAACCCAATACACACGGCCCTTCAGGACGGTTCATGCTCCCAAGTCACAGGCTCACAATAACCCCTTGAGATTCAGCAACACAGTAAAGTCACCTGTTACTTTCAGGGATTTGGTTTATCCACCCACTTAAAAAAAAAAAAATCCCTACATGCCAGCTACATATGCCCTGGCGCTCTCCATATTAAGGATGTGAGGGGAAGGAGAAAAAATGACAAGACAGCATGATCCCAGACAGCCCTGGCAGATATTGAGAGATTGAGCTATAGAAAACAGCTTCACTGCATCTGTTTCCTACTGAAGTCAAGGAGGAAGTCAGGGAAATGCAGAACTGCACCTGCAGGTGCCTTGGTTTGTCAGTGAGGGATAAGGAAAGGGGAACGCAGGGTACAAAGCAGTTTTCTGCACCCTATCTTCTTATTGCTTGCATCTTACCCTGCTCCTGGAAGGCCTGCGTCCCCTCTCCAGGGTCCTGGCTGAGCTGCTCCTCAGCGCCTCTGTCAAGGCCTTGGACGTCTTCCCTGTGGGGCATCCCCCACTCGGGCTTGACCTCCACGGGCCCCAGGTGGACACTTGGTTCCCAGGGGTCTCTGCAAAGTGCTGTTTCCTCACGCTGTCCCTGCACGTGGCACGGAACCTAAGAAGAGTCCCCAACACCTGTTAGAATGAGGCCTGCATTAAGACTGTCATGAAAGCCATGCCAGCTGCTGGGGAACGGACAAGCTGGCTCAGCTCTTCCTGAGCACAGCAGTGAAAAGGTGAAAAGGAAGCTAAACTGCCTTCATCAGGCCCTGAGATCAGATACTTGTCTGTATCCATGCCATTTGACAAGAGTCCCTTCAGCTCACCTCGGTACTGATCACATTCCACCATGAACAACATCACAGAGAGACAGTATCATTTCATTGAGAACTTCAGCCCAAAACATGCATTAGAAAAAAACATTCCTTAGTTAAAGATGCTGAAAACAAAAAATACAAGGCCTAGACTGTGCAGTGAATTAGTGAGGGAAAAAATTGTTCTACAGATAGCAAGGAAAACCAAAACCCACAAAAACAGGCCCTTTCTGGTCCATTTTTAAGCTTCTACTAAAGACAAAACAAAACAACTCTCTTAGACAACACAGGAAGTCAGGGTGACTGCTGTGGGAAAGGGGAGAATAAACTGAAGGAAAGTTGTTACCTGCCAGCAAAAGAGTAAGTAATGTTCGGGCCTGCCCTCTCTTTCCTAGACAGCCAGCAGGAAACGGTACCAGAGAGGGACAGAGACATGACCAGAGGGACAGAGACATGACCAGAGACCCAGGGAAGCCTCTGAGGTGCAAAGTCACTCATTATGTGAGTCATCTGAGCCAACGTCTCAGACGTGGAAACAGCACTGCTACAGA